ACCAACCAACATAGTCTGTGACATCAGCTTCTGATGGAAGCGGAGGTTAACTTGTCATCTACCATCCAACCTAGTCTGTGACACCAGCTTCTGATGGAAGCGGAGGTTAACTTGTCATCTACCATCCAACCTAGTCTGTGACACCAGCTTCTGATGGAAGCGAACGTTAACTTGTCATCTACAAACCAACCTAGTCTGTGACACCAGCTTCTGATGGAAGCGAACTTTAACTTGTCATCTACAAACCAACCTAGTCTGTGACACCAGCTTCTGATGGAAGCGGATGTTAACCTGTCATCTACCATCCAACCTAGTCTGTGACACCAGCTCCTGATGGAAGCGAACGTTAACTTGTCATCTACCTACTAGCTTAGAATACTATATCAGCTCCTGGTGGCAGCGAACGTTAACTTGTCATCTACTATCCAAACTAGGTTGTCACACCAGCTCCTGATGGAAGCGGATGTTAACTTGTCATCTACCAACGAACCTAGTCTGTGACACCAGCTTCTGATGGAACCGGACGTTAACTTGTCATCTACAAACCAACCTAGTCTGTGACACCAGCTTCTGGTGGAAGCGGACGTTAACTTGTCATCTATCTAACAACTTCGTATGCTATATCAGCCTCTGATGGAAGCGGGCGTTAACTTGTCATCTACCAACCAACCTAGTCTGTGACACCAGCTTCTGATGGAAGCGGACGATCTACCAACAAACCTAGTCTGTGACACCAGCTTCTGATGGAAGCGAACGTTAACTTGTCATCTACTAAACAGCCAACCGACCTTAGTGTCTTCATTTCAAACAAATATTGACCTCAATTATCAGGCAACAGTACCACCTTCTGGTATAACATAGTGGCATTATGCATTGTATGCAATAGGAACGTTCAAGGACACCAAAGCTTTTATAATCTATTATAACTATAAGACTTAGTAATCATTCTACATGTTATTGGATTACTTAGTGCTTTTATTTTAAGTCTCGAACAATTTAATAAAACCGCCATCACAAAGTTTATCCTTTATGATATCAGACTGAAAATTGCCAGAGGAAATGGTAAAAGCAATCCTATATTTTAATGGGTCCTATAATAACATAGACACGGTTTGATTAGAGTCCATTTACTAATATACGATATGAGATATCCAAGAAATAGATATAGTCTTATTAAATCATTCGCTTTGTCTGTCCATATTCTACTATTAATATTTCACTTTATTTCTTCCGTGTAAAATAATATAACCTTTTTCTTTTATTAGACTAGGTTATGGCTATTTACCACAATTTATTACGTTTTGTCCTAAAGTAATGATAATTGGCGAGATGGTTTGGAATCTAATTTGTCGGTTAATATAAATGGTTATTGTCAAGTAAAACTGTTATACGGGTTAGAAATCCAGTTATAATTCAATTGTTGTAGAAATTACTTCGTCTCGTTTTTCAGATTTATTGCAATTACGTTCAGTGTGTGTTTGTCCAACCACCACAATTAATTGGGCCCGTCAGTGACATCAAATATGCTTTCGCGATTATGCATCTTAAACAAAAAATTTTTTACAATAAGCGTTTTATTTTTCGTATTAAGGAACTTTAACACATCTAACTTCAAGGCAGGACTTAATCATGAATGCTGCTAAATTAATTGTGCCTATCAGTTCCATAGATCACAGCAGTTAAGTATTCGTGAACATGCAATAAGACGAAAATACTACTCCAACGATAATTCAATTAGTGGTTAATTTGGATAGAGGTTCTTCACCGTCATGCACGAGGTACACCGAACAACACGTTATTGCTTCATCGTGAATGTTTGATAAAAAAAAGGTGTAGCCAAATTGAACAATTTGATGTCGACAAACACTTGTAACAGGCTAACTGATGCAGTTTGTGGTGTCGTTATTGAACGTATAACTAGAGACGATACAGCTGGCTATGAGGTTTGTGATAGGTTAATCTCGGTTGACGAATGGTATTTTCAGTCTAAAGTCGACGACCTTGTGGAATAAAAGTGATGTCTTCCAGTGATAGTTGAACTAACAGAGTCATTAGTGAATGAGATTGAATGATAGGTTAATATTTAGTATAGAGACAGTTTACTGATTACGATATCTCGCAAAACTACTAATCAACTCATTGTGGGGTAAATTCATCAATGGTCTCATCAAACTGTTTGGTTAACTGTCTTGTTGAGATTTAGTACTTTATCACTCTAAATAGACCTATTTCCTACTATACAGCAATCTAGGCGTCTACCCAATTCTTCTTTAGATGACTATTTGTCAGATTCAGCTGGTGGCTATAGTAATCTTTGTCTGAAACTAGTTTCTAATCAGCAATGATTATTACTCTAATGTAAGATATTAACTTAGTTGATTAGAAGGGTTGTACAAATGCAAATGTAAACGCCGTATTTCAGATGTTCTATTTAGGATTTTGTATTAGAAACACATGTTGGCATGTTGTACGAACACAAACTGAAAATAAAGCCCAGTTGGTACATTACACATTAAGCATTATATTACTCGCTGAGAATTAGAAAAAGCTCCTGTTAAATGGGGATTTATTCCACACCTCCAAAGATGCGTTTTCATAATAATAATAATAACGATGACTGTAAGAGAGTGTCACGCGACTCTGTTACTTTTGAACTTTTGGCTGCACACGTAGTTTTAATTGATGGAACTGGAGACGTGACATAGATGATGTAGATAGTTAATGATGGTATCACTGAACTACAATAATAGTCATCTTTCCAAATATACTTGGGTTTTGCAGAGGCAAGTATCTAAAAAACCCGCACCTGTGGAGATGCGGAAAGTCCACATTTAACATTGTCTATTCCGACCAAATAGCTATTAGAGGCTGGAATAGAGACAAATGTTTCGGACTAAAGTCCAGTAAATTAAGTAATATAAAGTTATTGAACTTGACAAACTGTCTTTATGTAAGTTAACTAGGTCTGTTGTCCAGTAGGTGAAGCTTTATAAAGATTTGTACTTGTCAAGCTGTCTCTATGTTAAATTGACAGTAAATTGTCAAGCTATACAAATTCCTGTCATGTTTTAAGTCTTCTCTCTTGATGTTTTTATACTAAATTATCCTCTATTTAAAGTCGTCTATTGACAGTCACATGGTCTGGTACAGAGAAAATAGACGCGATTTAAAGGAAAATGATTACTTTGTAATTTGACTTAAAAACGATCGATGAATTGTGCCAGATCTATCAAATAAGCGAATTAAAGAGATATTGCGGAAATTGCAAAAGTGGAATATGAAACGAATTCCGAATAAGTTTATTGCTTCAAAATGTTGATCTTTTGTGGTCTAGTGAACTAAACCTCTGTTTCCAGTAGTCATTGGCGTTTCTACGGAGGGGATGGGGGCGGGGGTCTCTGTGGCCCCTTCTCACATTCCTAGAAACACCACTAAGTCTGGTGGTATGGCAGTTTAAAGAATTTCAACTCTATTTAGAGAACAGTAAGGCCATCTTTAAAATATACTGACGAATTTAACTGGTTCACTGGTATCACGGGAAATTACCTTCGATGTTACTCAACCATTCGTTTTCAAGAAAATACATTTCTTTTAACTTTTAAATTGCATTAGATTCTACCCATTACTTATCATGATTTAAGTGTCTATTTTACCTCGGAAATTAAACTTATAATGAAACTTTATGTTCACGCTCTTCTTCTAATTTCACAATGAAGTCATAAACTCCAATTTAGTCACGTTTTTTTACTGATGCTTTCTACTTCCGCTGGGTTGCAATATTTGTAATGAGAAGATGTAGGGCTTAAATTAGTATTGTGACAGTGTGTGGGAGGATTGTAAATCAGACAATATATTCAGTTTGAAAATGTTCGCTCTGTTTTCAATATGAAATGCGAAAGCTTTGTTGATTATATGTATTATGTACTCATATTTTGTGAAATTTTCTGAATCGTTGCCACAATTTACTTTATCAAATTAGATGTTCTCCAAGCCTGGGATTTATTCAGTATCCATCTATTTCTAACGATGTTACTGTCGCAATATTGTTAATGTATACATTCTCAAATATTGTATATTTACAAATCTTTGCCAAAATGTGTTCAAATGATATTGTCACAATGTACAATCTAACAAAAAACTTCATTTTCATGCGTACAAATGTCTAAATACGTCGCAATTGACAAGAAATGCTATTTTGAACATCTGAAAACCCATCAGCAAATTGGTTGAATTATTTCTCTAAGTTTTGAGTTATAAAGATTTTTTACCAGTGATTAACAGAGTTTCTGACAGTTTGACACTCTACTTTAATAACACGACACAATCTTTGATTTTATTCAATATTTCTGGAAATTTTCTCCAGAAAGTTAATGAATTGCCTCCAGAAGAAGCAAATTGAATTATTTTTCTGTGCTATTATTGTGTTGACCTAGATTCAGATAAACGACAGATAGTTATTATTTTCAATGCCAATTTGTTCCTACTCAGTTTTATGCACGTTGCTTCTGCACTAAAATTGAATTTGCGGTTTGCTTGCTGCAATCTATTAAAAATTCTTAAATTAATTAGATTTTGAAACGTTGATTGGTCTATATCACCCCTTCGTTAACATCAACCAATCAGAGCTCTCGGTTTTGTACGATTCCGATCGTTTAAGCTATGATGTTTGTTTTCAAAAACTCCGGGATTAAATTCTGAAACTTTATCTTCGCTACACTGTATCTAAAAATGGTAACAACTATGTCAATGGCTTACAATTGTACCCTGCACGGTGTCGTCTGCCTTCATGAATAAAATCAATTGCAGAAAGGAGACGTAACACAATTAGAATTAATTTCATTTCATTTTCTTTGTTACCAAGTATAGAAGTAGCCAGATACAGAAGAAGCCAGATACAGAAGTAGCCAGGTAAAAATGTAGCCAGGTAAAAATGTAGCCAGGTAAAAATGTAGCCAAGCACAGATGTAACCGAGTACAGATGTAACCGAGTACAAATAACACTACGTACAATTGTAATCAAGTATAGATATGACCAAGTAAAGGTGTAACCAAGTACAGGTGTAACCAAGTACAGATATAACTAAGTACAGTCGTAACCAAGAACAAATGTAACAAGTACAAGTAACACCAAGTACAGGTGTAATCAAGAACAGGTATAACCAAGTACAGATGTAACCAAGTACAGTCGTAACTAAATACAGATGTAACCAAGTACAGTCGTAACTAAATACAGATGTAACCAAGTACAGACGTAACTAAATACAGATGTAACCAAGTGCAGATGTAACATAGTACAACTGTAATCAAGTACATATATAACCAAATACAGACGTAACCAAGTACAGATGTAACCAAGTACAGATTTAGCCAGATTAAACCAGGATGATGGTACTTAATTACATTGATTTCAATATCAGCATAACGTCACTATCATTGTGTTAATCTGACCAAATCAAACTGAGGGCTTCAGATGCAATCACGCTCTACTTGTCTGCCTTCATAATTCCAATTAGAAGCAGAAAGGAGTGTAACACACCATGTTATTTCATTTTCCTTTGATATCAAGTACATATGTAGACAGACACAATCTGATAATCGAACTAGATGACATTGATCTAAATGTCACCATAACGTGACAATTATGATGTAACTCTAACCACATAAAACCGAGGGTTCCAGTCTGAATCTGTCTGTTAGGTAGACCAGATAGACACGTATGCTATTGTTTATCGCTGAAGGCAGCAGTTTACATAATTGAAACCAAAGACAGCGTGCTTATTAGTTAATTGAAGGCGGAAATAAACGTACAGTTTCTTTCCCCTAACCTCGACTAGACGGAAAGTAGTTGGAGACAAGTTGATCATTGGCCCAGGGGGACATCTGGAATTTCTTCAGGTGCATGTAGTCCCTACCACGCATAATAATTATTAATTGTCAAGGCTACCTGGTAAATCGAATTCGCTCATCTGAATCCGAGAATTGTCTTTTATCATCCAAAAAAATGAGAACATAATTGACAAACTAGTTCGCTGCCAGATCTTTTTTTTGGAACAAACTCATAATCATTTGCTGACTTTTGATTCTGAATCAAATAATATTTTGTCCCTGAAGACATAAACAAAAAGTTTCACAATTATGAACATGACAATAGGCTATTAGGATCTCATTGATTTTGATTATAGCTGAAGTTTTGATTTGTACGTATTTTAAATATTTGAACTCAAAGCAAATTGAAGCAAACAAAATGCATTTATTTAGGTGCTTTGTGACAAATCTTTTAGCAATTGTGATCATGAAATTCGATTTTAGATTTGATTTAAGAATCTTTTTTGATTTGTACAAATGAATTTTCTTTTACTTAAAACGGATTACTAAATTTGTAATATCTGTTCACAAAAGAGTGTGTCCTTGATATAAATTCTACAAATTCAAATTATAACCGAGAATGAAATCGGAGGAATTATATGAATTTTAAGTGAATGAAATATGATGTAATAATATAGCCCTCGGTTCTATATCGAGATTAAAATAAAAACTTGTTTTCACTTGAAATTTATTTTAGTCTGATTTGTTATATTATAAAAAGTTTCCACAGCTTTGTTGTTTTTTTAGTTAGTCCCCATTCGAAACACATGCCGGTAGCATGAGATGATATCTAGTCAGGGTCTTCCTACTGTAGACTATTTTTATGATCGACTTCTTGCTCTTGTTCCGTGAGTTTCCTTAATTTGCTTGTACGACTAATGCTCAATTCAAGAAAGATGACTCAAATTTGCAATAAATCTGTCCTGACGAGGATTGTTTATCAGAAACAAGTTACAGATTGAGATGAGATGTGCTCTAGTCAAAAAATTTAACTATGTACATTTATCACTGAAAAATCGATTTTGTGCTGCACTACCCTAATCTGTTACGAATTTTAATCGTGGAAGGATCTTTCACAAGCTCTAAGTAAAGAGTGAAAATAATTACACAATCCTATATATACCTATACCAATCCATCCTACTCTTTTTAACCCGTTTAGTTGACATATAACACCCTTTATAGCATTTAACCGATTTTAATGAAAGATGTCAAACCGTTTAGATACAGATTATTTCTCTAATTTTAGTTTAGGAAATATGAACATGTTTGATGAAATACATGTTCAGTTTATGCATGAATTAAATATCCAATTATTAATAATGACACAAATCGTTGCCTGGGAGCTTACATGATAAAAGACAGTTGTGATTTTGTGCATTTGAGCTAATCTGGAATCTAATATTAAACGAATCAAATTATGTTTGAGAAATAAAATTGCTGTTCTATAAAGTAATGTAGACCTCGAAATAACTAATAGAACTCAATTCCGGTCTCTTCAAGATTCCTTTTCAATATAATTGGAACGTTAAAAGAAATCTACATTATTGTCACATATAGTGTTAAGGTGAAATGATAATTTAACTCATAGAAAGCCAGGGCCTAGGTCCGAAACAGGCACTATTCATTTACAAGTGTGCGATGAAAGCATTCGTGCATGTAAATATTACACAATCTGAGCTCTATCATTTGGGAACGCAAAATAAATAACACGATCAAATCCATTCGGCAATCCTCGGCACTTTCTTCTTTACATTCACGGAGGCCGTTTGAATTAAATCCTGTTTAGGTAATACTTATCAGATAATCTTATCAGGTGAATCAACCTTAACCTCTTTTTAAGAGTAAGCATACCTTTCAGAATTAATGCCTCAATTATTTGTTGGATAATAATTTTCGTCTGGAAGATTACAAAATGAAAACCTGATATTCCAGTTAGAGTGAGTGCATGATCAGTAGCTCAACTGGAAAGGGGGCCCATGAACTTAAATGAGTTGTAGCCACTCGCATTTTTTAGTTTAAATAAGCTCTCTCTAGAGACGCCTCCATATGTCAATTTAATGTCTGTTTATGGAAGGTTTAAAGATTAATGTTATTTCACTTTTAATTGGTATTTGCCTTGTTTGATAACATTGGAATACTTTGGTTGATAAATTATGTATTTAAGTCTGGGAGCGGGGGTCTACTAATGGGTGTTGGTCAGTGGACTTGGTTCAAACAGTCCCTATGGTAGCTGAACCACCGTGCATGTTCAATTTCAAATGTCTTTACAAAGAATAGTCTAGAGATTAAAAAAGCGGAGGCAAATTGCATCCATTTATCAGGTGAACTTTTTTCAGTATCAGTACCAATCAGGATCTGTTCATACGTTTTAACTCACATAATTCCGAGCAGGGTTCCAGTTTTGCTGATCAGATAGAAGACCTCCCCTCCCCTTTCTACAAAAAGCCTTATGTTAGACCAATTTACAATCTGTCTGCTCATATTTCCCAATTAAATGAAAATGTTTTTCTCGTCAAATTCATTTTATTTTTAAGGTAAATACCAAACCCTATAACTATAACCATTATTGAGGTGCAGTGCTGACACCATTATCTGGGGCTGCTGAAACATATTGATCAGCAGCAGGAGATGCAACGTATTGGGCATCGGGGACAGGAGCATTGCTCTCCTCGGTGATAGGCACAACAGGTGTATCCGGGTGAATAACCCCACCGTGGTCGATATGTAGGGGAACGATTGGAGCAGCAATATGATCAGTATGGTCTTGGTGGGCTTCATGATCAATTGGAGAAATGATACCAGCATGAGATACACTGTGAGGTTCATCAACAGGAAGACTGTCATGTCCTTCGTGATCGAGGTGATCGAGATGATCGAGATGTTCATCTCCAGCTGGTAAATTGTGAATTGGTGCGACAGTTTCTCCAGTATGTTCTTCCTGGGCTGAATGGATATCAGCAGATTGATCTGGTGTCTCAGCTGAAGATGCTGGTTGAGGAGATTCGGGCTGATAAGCGGCAGATGCTTGTTTCTCAATGGGTTGTTGCTCCTGACCTTCTGAAGCTTCGTCGGTGTTGGCAGCACCCTCTTCAGTATCTTGAGAGTCGTCATTTGACGCACCTTCTCGTCCTTGATAATCTTGTTGATCACCCTCCTGGTCATTGGAATCCTGGTAGCTCTGTTGATCTTGGTCGTCTTCATACTGAGCTTGTTCTCGTCCTTTGGAAGTATCCTTATTTTGGTAATCGTTGTTAGAATCTCGTTGTTCATCACCTTGGTATTGATCCTGTCCTTGAGACTCCTCCTGACCATCTCGGTAATCATTTGAAGAACCATTATCCTGCCCGGAGTATTTACCATCACTGCTGCTGGAGCTGGAACTAGATGAACTATAATCACCATTTGAGTCTCCTTGGCTTCCGTTATAGTCATCGTTTGATCGCGATCTATCGTCTTGCTGATTGGATGAATCAGATCCATCGTATGATCCAGAATCGGATGAAGATCTGTCGGATCCTTGGTCATATTCACCTCGTCCGTGTTGATGCCCGTATTGCCCATCGTCATATGTAGCCCCTTGTCTACCACTATCATCAGAATATTGTCCATCAGAATCATTGGCTTGTTCGTCATCTTGATCTTTGGAGTGAATCACGTCGTTCTTCTCATTCTTGAAGGAAGTATCCTGGTCAAAGCTTGGGAAGAATGAACTATGGCTGTTATCGAACAAGGGTTTGGGATCTTCACCAAATAATGGAGACCGGATGTCACCTTCTCGTCGTTTGTAGATAGGAGTGCTTTGAGCTTTATCAAAGTCAGGAATATGAGGACCTAGACTGCCACCGTTGTTAAATCTGTTATGGGCTTGAGCGTGAGAGCTTCCTCCGAAGGCGAAAACAGGTTGATGATGGGAAATTGGGCTTCCGCCAAATATAGAATCATGTCCGCCGAGCCCGAAATCGTTCCCGAAATCTTGGCGAGGTTGCTGATGATAAGAGGACATGGCTGGGTGTTGGTTATGGAAGGATGATGGCTGGTGGAATCCAGAGCTTGGGTGTGGAGCGGATGGGTGATGGGGTGGAGCTACTTGATGGATTCCAGATCTGATACCAGTTCCTTGAGGAAGAGATGCTCCACTGATGACGGCTGAATTTCTAGAGGTTGTCCATCTGGATCCATCTGAGTAGCCGATGACACAACATCCAAGGATTGGGGCGTTGATTGGATTCTGGCTGAATGGATTGAAGGCACCATCATATACCTGAAATTGATAAAAAGAGACGTTTGGAAAAAAAATGTCCTTTTAAAAGATGGAGAGGTTGATCGGTTGTGATGTTTCGAAAAATAAATCTCGATATATTTCTGATAAATTGGCAATATGAAGCCCTTTGTCACTTGTAGGACAAAAAATTTTAATTTACTTGCAATCCTTATGAATAAACTAGGGTAATGATATTGTAAAATTTCCTTTTTTACTCACCACGACAGCTCTACCAATAATAGACAGAGGACCAGACAGCTTAGCTTTCTTATTCTTAATCATTGTGTACATATTGCCTTCACCATCTTGTGGCAGTGTTCCAAGATCTCCCAACATTCTACAAACAAGAATTACTTCATTATTGTCAAATGAAACTAGGTGGGGTTAGGAAAGGTAAAGTGGATCTGGTGTATTCTACGGATTCCATTGATATATCAAAGTTATATTAACTGTATAGTTCGACTTTTTTTTAGCAAATGCACTAAAGTATATATTTTCATTTTTTGTCATGAGGAACTTTCCTCTTAGACTTACAGGTATTAGTCATAGAGTATCATGTTCTAGTATTACAATACACATGACTAGGAGGGAGGGAGACGGGTCGATATGCGAGAATTTAAGTTCAGTTAAAAGTTCCAGTTCATATTTTCTTTATTAGGGTATATCTGTTACAAGGCGTGACACTAAATGGTTGATATACTTCCTCTTATGAAAAGTTCACACGGTGCTACGAAGGTTTCACCAAATGTTCTTTTGGATTTTGGGTTTCGATCGGATCATTAGTACATAGGTTGTTATATAATACTCACTGGACACCATGACCATCATCAGCAGAATAAGTATAACCTGTGGTAGCACAACCATGACTTGTATCACCGTAAGTCTTGACTTGAATACCATGATCAGGGTTGGAACCTTGCTCAAACCTTTTCAAATCAATTAAAATTTCCATACTTCCTGAGGCAAAACAACCAAATGTCTGAAACAAAAAGTTTGAATGAGTTCGAAAAGGAACAATTGGGATCGAGATTTGGAGGTTGGGTTACGAGGCCATGTCTGAAACTGCAACAAAATGATTGAAAGGAAAAGACATATGAAAAGATTTTAAATAGTTGGAGTCTAGAAATTTTCAAAAACAAAATGATTACAATTTAAATAAATTTTAAATAATTACATTCAGGATCGAGATAAGAATGTCTCCCTTTTCAAACAACAAAAACAATGATGAAGGGATCTTTGAAATAAGATAAGATTTAGTTATTTTCGATTAAACGTATTCAAATTATCAAGTGTACGCTAGACAAGACAGGGATGTCATTCTCGAAAACTTTGCTTAAATAAAATCCAGACAATAAAGCAATCTGATTGGTTATTCAATTGGTTTCTGAGGTTATAGTCTGGCAGTTTTCATTGAATTTTCTATAACGACGATTTCAAGGGAGATAAAAACGATTAAGCATATTCGATCTACAAGTCCCAAACGAACAGTTTACATCCAAAACAAATAGGCAACCCCTACAAGTTTTGTCAGTTTATATTTGATATTTGTATTCGTGGATGTTATATTTATCGATTTTTCGAGCAAAGAATTAAAATTCGAAGACATTGCCATAATAACTTAATTATTTTAATCAATGTTTCCCATCATCAAAACGGATGTGGATTGACAATAGCCATTGTAGACTCGGTCAATTACAAAGATTTAAAGCAATCAGTCTAGGCCATCTTTCGTAGTAGCCTTACGTAGACAAAGAGGGAGTGGGTGATATAGGCCACTAGAATGTTAAAATCTTTCTATGTTAATTGTTTAACTTCCTGGTTGAATATTTCGTGATAACACACGTAAACACAAAACTTATTCCCAATTATTTGAAAATAAAAGGATTTCAGCATAAGGGTAGATTTATGCTCTGTCAGAAAATTACCATTTCCTTGACTTTGATGTTCTGTAATTTAAAGAAATTCAGTAGAGTTTTTTCCATTCTTTGTACTTACACATGTACTTTACAAACAAACTTCAAAGGATGTCGTAATCTGTATTTTCTTAAAGTATGGAAACCGCAGACTACCAAGTAAAGAAGCTATTTAATGTTTCCGATACTTAAACAAAAGGCACGAAAACCTTTGACAGAATATCGCCATACGTCATGCATAATTCTATCCTCTTCAGACTCGTCAGGGCCCCTCCTAATTTCATCATTCCCCAATTGAAATTAACTCTTAAATGCTTCGAAAGTTAAATAATTTTTATTCGGAACCAAGTTCTTTAATTGCAGTATTGAATTCTGGAATCTTTAAAAATTATATTTCTAAAGAGTAATATTCATTGATTACCGTTCTTTCTCGCAGTAATAGAAAATCCATTTGGCGCGGATATTGTCATTACAGGGCGCGAAATCATACTTCCGGTATACTTGACATCTACCGGAAGTAAATTTATTTTGAAATCGACTTTATAATTGATAGTAAATGTGTTTTGAAATGAGTTCCGGAGAATAAAATGACATTAACGAGCTGATTTTTTTTATTTTTAATCTCCATTATTTAGCAATTTCTGGTCTGATGGCAGATCACACACAGGTCGATAGTTCTATTTCTGTTAGTAGGTTGAATTTAATCCTGGAGTGTAGTCAATGAGTTTTCAGGGAATGTCGTCGAACTGCTTCCTAGAAAGTCATTAACTTTAGATTTTCTACTTTTTCAGGGCTTTATTCTGGAGAACTTAAATAAAGACGATTTTTGTGTTGCTATCATATGATTGGTCAATCACTAAAATCGATTTTGATTATATTTTTTTTATCTAATCAGATTACAGAATTTCTTAAAATCTGGATTTTTATCTTATTTCGGTTTTCGAAGTCAGATTTATTTTAACGAGTCCCATTAGAAATGCCTGGACATTTTAATCATATTTTACCACTATTTTTCCAAATTGCAGTTAAAACCATATACCATCCGTGGACGTCCTCAAAACCAAACGACCTTTGTGCATTTCCTTGCACTAATGACATTCGAAATCGCATAATCCAATGTTAGTCCGCAAAACAGAGGCACTACTTTAAATGATAATCCATACAAATAGCTACTGTTAAACACTCTGGTTACTTCTGAGATTTCGCAACTTCGTTGACAAAAAAGTAAAACGATTTGTAAGCGAAAGTTAAATAATGATTTATGATTTATTGACTTGTGATAAAGATCTGGGCTAGAACTGTCGTCACTAAATGCCTCTAGAAAATAAATATATATTCATTCAAAAGGTCATATTATTTTACTGTAGAACTCAGGCTGTGTGTTATTAAATAAGAAGAGACAATAAAGTGATATTAATGGGACACTTAATTTAAATTAGTCGCTAACTATTGTCACTATCTGATTTTAATCGTCAAAACAAGCAATAAAGAGATACAGTTTTTGACTAAGAATTGATATAACCAATTGTAGAGACATCACAAAATGTTGTTTGTTAGAGTAAAATGAAAATGAAACATATGAAAAATTTTCGGAGCACTTTTCGGTTCCTGTTTGGGCCAAATAAGACGGATGAATGAAATTGGTACCAGGACAGCAACTGCGTTAACCTACTGTTCAACCGTCAATGAATTACTTCAGTGTCGATCTGAAAGACAAAAATGGTTTTGTTTGTCCAACCCAACGGGGTGATTTTTTCATGTGAACAAATTGAGAAACTTTTTGAAGTTCAACAGACTTTCTGACAGCCATACTTTCTCGTCGTTAACGAAATACTAACATTGTTGATTTTCGAGAAATGACGGGACAGACGATAAGCCGTTGTAAGATTAACTAAGCTATGTATGGGAAGGGACCCCAAAGGTGTATCTGATGTAAAGATAACCAAAGTTACGGCAGATGAATGAGATGATATATGGGTGTTTGTTGTATTGAAATACATTAACTAATGGGACAGGTGGTTACTCGCTGCCCCGAAGACGTATTTTTCGGGCAAAAATCTCTCAACTAGGTTAGAAATGCGGGCAACCTCAGGTATTTCTCCCCTCTCTCGGACGTAAACCTGACTCCGCCACTGATCACAGGTGGATACCTATTACTCTAAATAGTATAATACTTTGAAATCTTACATATACTGGTGCAATTGACATGCCTTTCGATTGAAATGGCTTCCCGATTTTCTATTTAGGTTCGTTTTTTCATAAATCTACGAAATTCCTTTCTTATCATCATTACAGTATATAAAAAAACCTTCATTCTTATTTTCTATGAGAATCATAAACTTGGCTAATGTGAAATTGGAGACACGATGTCGCTCGACCTTTTCTTCTTTAAGTGTGATTTCAGTAAATTCCTCGCCTTTATTTCAACATAAATGATAAAAAATTACCTGTTTTCAACGTAATGCGTCTGTATCAAGACAAGGTCTATGTTTTGTAACCTACACAATGGACGACATTAAATCATCGCATACTATATCGTTATATCACTTCCATAGCACATTAACAACAGAAACAGTCATATTTCCATGCAATTTCAGGTGATTCCAGCTTTTATTTCAACATAAATGATAAATCTTAACAGTTTTAATTAAATGTAATGTATCAAGACAGAGTCTATTTTTTGTTTTATAGATCTCTTGACTTTTTTTTTTTGCTATGTAATCCAAATTTTATATAAAATATTTTCATAAATTTGGGTATTACACTAACATTAAGTACTCGCACCCTATATCATAATGGAATATTTCTGACGCAATAATTATCATACCATGTGACAGACGTTCTTCTAGATAGTTTGACTATGGTTATGCTGGAACCGTCTAATCACAAATAATTAACGTTGTGTTATGCAGTCTGTCAGCCATGCAGTGGGGCACGTCACTTCGGACGGCTATTGAAGATCGAATCGACTTTCACCAAAATTGACAAATAAGGCATTTAAGTGAAATTTTTCTTATATGAATCTGAAATTACAGGATTTAGGTTATCTTGAAATATATCGTATCAGTTTTTATTCACTTTCGATTGATATACTTCCTCATGTGAAAAGTTCATTAACTGCTCCTAATGTTTCACCAATATGTTGTTTGGATTTCGGGTTTCCTTTTGTGGTTCGGATCGTTCGTACTGGGTTTATTTATTAATAAAGTTTTGTGTCTTTCATGATACTGGTTGTGATAAAACGTTTTTAATTTCACATTGCCTGTTGACATTTGATAAAAATGACAGTAGTGTTTCGTGATTTTAATTTGGATTCAAATGAGACTTGATAATTATCATAAGGATTTTTGTCTCTTCTAATTTTGTTTTATATCGTTTAATTTTCAAAATTCGTGACTTCTCAAATTAGAAAGAAATATAAAGTGCTTCAAACACGGAAAGATCACATATTAACCGGAAATTTGATTGGTTAATTTTGATTGCATTGTTTTTGCAATCTGATCATGAACAGTTAGAAGGCCAAGAGCGATAACTCATCAATTTAAAGATTATCAAATGATTGTTCAAGTATTTCTTATCCTTTTTCAATTCTCATGAGTTTAGAGTGACTCAGTTATAAGGACATAAAACAAAAAGTGTGCGGAAAGGTTCCCACGAAGTTATAGAGAATTAAAAGGAAAATATTATTTTGAAGACTCCTATTATTGTTCCAGTTCTTCCAATCCTTGTCATATTCATATGAATTTAAAGTAACTAGGTAATGCTTATGCGAATAAGTAATGCATTATAATACAATGAATAATTTTTAATATATATTAATAGAGATTGTAAAAAAAAATTCTCTCTTGATACAGCATATCATGCGATTAGTGATGCTACCAACCTAGTTGCAGTGGAATTACAGAAACCACAGATGGCTGATCTTAAATTGTAATGGTGAAAATTGATACGACATAAAGGTGTCCCGATACAAAAATATATAGAAAACATTTTAATATGTCAACTGATTTTCAGTACGATGTTCTGAAATTAGTACAATGAACTCATCTGACGCCAAGCAGGAAAAAATTTCAGTTATCATTTAAATAATACCACAATTCCTAATATTACACCCAATAATAATATTAATCAGTTTTGAACTCGTTTCCAACAACCTTTGAAACCTTTGTGACGTACATCAGATATAAGTACTTTCAACCTTTATGATGTTATAACATAGATACCAACAAAGGTCGTGATTCAGTTCGATTGTGACGTTGTTCTGAAAAGAATAATCACGTGATTGGAAGGGCGAAAAAAGTATATCAAGTTATGGCTTCAAATACACATTCCGTTAAATGGACGACACCCACCACCCTTGAAATTCTGAAAACATTGAAAAGTAAATTTGTTGGATCAGAACTCAAACCATATGACGATGCCAAAGTTTGGTTACGGGAGGATGGAAGATTGGTTCTTGAAAGATCAGAGAATCTTTGGAAAGACCATTTTAAAAGACGGAGAGAGAACACTGATTGTGGATTCTTTAGCACACCATGTGAGCCTTTTAAATGTCTTGGTGGACCTTTAACTCTAGATGTAAATGATCTTCTATACCAATCCTATTCCTCATACCTCAAGCCTACCAAACGGGATGAAAAGTCACCTCCAAAAGAAGAAGTTGTCCAACCAGTTGAAAAGGACGATCTTGAAGAAACCGTGAAGGATTTGCCACCTGTAACATTCAGCAGTCGTCTGAGTGCAACAGGTTACGGCAATATTCGAGATCTCCTCGAAATACAGGATGAACGAAAAACTGCTTTAAAGGGTGGGATGCCTTATATGGATCATATTAGGTATGGATGTTTACATCGTTGCATCATATGAGAGTCATTCCACATTCCTTAGAGAGTAGTTTTGTAGACTCTTATCTTGCATCAACGAATCAGTATAGTAGTAGTTCTTAAAGAGATTGTAAAGAGGTTTTCTAAAAAAATTTTCAATTTGCACGAATTAAACCATATCAATTTTGCAACTCCAGTAAAACTAAGCATTTTATGGCGTAATTATCGCAAAAGCTGCTAATAATTAATTATCTGATGATAAAAGTTTAATGATATGATTAAGCATTGCTATACGATAATTACAGGAACCACAGACATTTACTGGAAAATTTGAATGATGCAAATAGAAGCCATAAATTGCCCTGGTACAAAACAGATAGGAAACTTCTTTACCATCCCTTTAAAAAATTGTTCTGATTTTTTTTAAAGGAAAATCGAGAAGCGAATGGAGGATAAGAAGGAAAAACCCATCAATGGAATGGTCTTGATGTCAACCTCAGATTTTGCCTTCATGTTTGGTGGTGCCAGAGAATCTGTTGCGTCTGCAGAATCAATGTCGTCGGTAGTAGACAATCAAGCTAAGCAATCTAACTCATCCGATTCTACCAGATCGAACAAATCGTCAGATAGTTTGCTCCGAGTCAACAGTGGTCTGACAGAACGTTTAGATAGACTAAGAAAGGATAATGTTGAGTTCCTGAACACCCTGTACAGGATTATAACTATTATGAAAAACCTCAAATCCGTGGATCTCAAAACCAGACAGCCGTTAACAAGAAACAAACTTAAAGATCTGGAAACATCACGAAAGACAGAACGAGAACACGGGAAGATTGGAACATTGTTACAGAAACGTCTTTCAACGGATACGTCTTTTTCAGTGGACTTAACCCCAACTACTATTTCAAGTCACGTTGAGAATCGGCATCCGTTGGCTTTTGGTGTTCCGAAACGCAGGAACCGTATATTGTCCTTGTTTGGATCATCCGGTGTTGGAAGTAGAACCAGTGCTTTGGTCAATGATAAAATGTCTAGACCTATGTTGGAGCCGAGAGAACATCGAGTGGACACGTGGGATGATCTTCTCCATGCGGGGGATAAAACAGAAGGTGAACAAAATGAACTTCCGGTTCAGGTAAGTAAATCAACTACTAGAAGGTTGATTTTACCAAAGACGAATTGCCGATAATTGTCTAACTGAAACCTTTACGTTGCAATTTCCTTTCCGGTTATTTAGTGCTGCTAGAAACTGAGTATTTAATTTTTCTTTATCTTTCGCCTATTAACAAATAAACTTTTAACAATATCATCTATGTTAATGGTTAGTATTTAAAGTAATCAGCAAAATCGCTGTTCCGTATTTTTATGTTTTAGGTTATTCCATCTACGATGATGTCAAAAGCTTTGAGATGGTCTCGTCGAAACCTTCATGTTAAAGAGGTGAACATTGAAGATAAGCACATGAAACCAGTTTGGCAGAATGTAGCCAATGAACGAGCTCCGTCAGCATTCGGGAATACCAAAACTAATACCGAGGACGCGATGTCCGTCTGTCAACGTGCACGTAGTAATATGGAGAAGGTGAATAAAGCAATGCGCGAAAGTTGTGACGAAGAAGTAAAGAAAATAAACCGACATCGAATCGCCAATTTCCGTCATAAGTTCGACACTCTTCGTGAAATTGATGGAACCACGCTGTTTGAGAAACAGTTGTGGCGAATGAGAGAGCCGAAAGATTTCGGTATCGTCGATCCTGATCTTCCGGATATCATGCCATCAAAATGGTTGGATGAGCTAAAAGAACGAATGTTTAACATAGTTGGTAATGAAGATACCGAGCTTACACATGCCTTAAAGAAACTTTGCCAATACTCCCAAATGGAGATAAAAAATATTCCGCAAACTAAGGCCAAATTATGTTTGATAGTCATGTCCCTTGCCGCTTATGATATTTGTAAAATTTCCACCCAGCTCGCGATCAAATTTATTTTGGAAAAAATCATTCAAGTCCCTGTGGACGACTTTTATAATTGGCTAGGTTTAAGGAAATTACCAGTTGTTATTGTCAAATAAAAAAGGATTAATCATTGGAATGTGTAGCATGTCTCAAGGATTGAATTAATACTCTGAAAAAATCTCTACAAATTGTTTATTACCCGAGGGTGGAAAACTGACTTTTTATATTACAGAACTTGTTTTCTTTTATGGCTTCACATGAGAATATTCTATTAGCCTTGAACAAGTGTCTTTCTTCATAATACAATTTATTTCACAATTGTTAAAATAGCAATAAGTCGCAATGTATAAAAAAATGCTTTTGAATTGGTCTGGAAGACAATCTAAGTAGAATACACCTCTACACTCAGACAATGTTAGTAGAATACACCTCTACACTCAGACAATGTTAGTAGAATACACCTCTACACTCAGACAATGTTAGTAGAATACACCTCTACACTCAGACAATGTTAGTAGAATACACCTCTACACTCAGACAATGTTAGTAGAATACACCTCTACACTCAGACAATGTTAGTAGAATACACCTCTACACTCAGACAATGTTAGTAGAATACGGCCCAAGGTATTTCTTTTTGTTCTCTTAATTGAGTTATTTCATGTATTCTATCAACCTCTTTTCTGTTGATTTTTTATCGAAATATATGTTATGTGTACAATATAATAAGTAGGCTATAAAAGGAATATTTCATAATGACGTTTCTGTGAATACTTAGACGTGGGGCCGAGTAGGCAATTCTATGTTAAGAAATTTGTAAACGAGAGGTAGGACTTTGTCTCTCCCGCTTTCCAAACGACTCGTAAAAACCCAGCTGTAGAGTCTGAGTGTGAAAATGTTAAAATACTGTCCTCACTTCCAGCAGAACGCCTTTCTTCTATTTAAGACGAACTTGGCGTATGATTCTCAGTCTTAAAAGTGACAAGATGAGATAATGCTCTTGCAGCTTGTAGAGCGAATATGTAGGCTCGATTGCAAGTACCTTGGGTTTGTATTATACTCACCATTTTTTGACGGAAATCGATGGTACCAGTAACATTGGATTCTTTTCCAGGTTCAATATAACATGCGGCATGGACTGAAATCATAAATATAAAATTCGGTATTTTGGAACAAATTTGTTAGCAGCCCTTGGTCGACATCCTGGTCAATCCTTATAATTCTGCTTATTGTATGCACCGCATCTGACACGGTTTCTCCGTTATTACCATTCACATTCATCTTTTTGATAATGCGAGAGCATATCATTATCGTTGGAATCAATCTCATTCCCTTTCAAATATCATATCCAACCGTGATTCACTTTAACCAAATATATTCATAACAGGCGGTGAAATTTAACCAATCAAAACTATCAAAATTTGAAAGTTAAAATGACGGGTCGCCTTTTCTTGAGACACTGCCACTTATAGAAGAGACATCTTTAGAGAGTTCTGGTAATTGCATGCAATAATTTTTAGTCGGCCCACTTATTTTAAACAACTTTTCCGGATCAGAATTGTTACGAAAATGTCATAAATATTATCACTCATTCGTGAACACTTGAGATATAAATATCACAATGTCAGAGTTAATCAGTCGGAGTTAAATTCTGCCCAAATATTTAAAGGTGCGAAGGACCATGAGCCTGAATCCAGACTGAAATTCGTGTCTGGGCGTTTTCAGTTCGAGATTTGAACAAAAATGAAATAATATGAATGGAGTTTTACGTCCTACCCTTCTGCACCTTTTTGGGCTAATTAAGACGGACAACGACATGCAATATGCAATGAGATACATAATCGGATTCCCTGTTTTCGGTTATTCAAGTTTAATGGCAATGCCGCACCAAATGCCGTTAACGGAAGCGTGCCTCTAAATACGTGGGCTGCTCGTGTTAATAGTTTTTCATCGTGCCGGATATGTGCACGTTTTTTTGCGCCACTAAAAGCCTGCAAGGCCACTTTTGTCAGGAAAAATTATCGTTTGATGAGGAAGCTTTTTAAGTTGTAGAAAGTTTTTAGTGCATCAATTTGTCCGAAGGCTATTTATAGCAGTAAGGTTTTGTAATCCATTGTTTTTTCTTGCTTATTTGTTTTACAGCCCTTATTTTTAAAATAAAAGATTTGAAAATCCGTTTTCAATTTTAAGAATTATTTTTTTAGGCTTGGTAACAGTTGTTTTTCTTATGTCAAAATCTTTCATACTAATCATAGTATAATATTTATTAAAGGGATTATAAATAGGTTTTCTAAACTTTTTATGTGTATCGGGACAATGATAGCATCAATTTGCACCATTTGTGGTTCCTGAAATTCCAATAAAACTTAAAGTTTGATGACGTCACTAATCGCAAAATATGCTTTAACATAATAAGGCCCTTCGAGATTATAGTGACGCAATCAAACAGTTCTATTAGAATTGAAGGAACCACAGACGTCTGATTGAAAATTGGAATGGTGCAAATTGTTGTCTATAAACATGAAAAATTTAGAAAACCTGTTTACAAACCCTTTAAGTGAGTAAATAACACTATATTTATATTTATATGTATTGTTATTTCATAACTTTCTTGCTTATTGCACAACAAACTATCGTTAAGACCTTAATACTATCTATTTGATAAACAATATTGTTTCCATGGAAACTATGTTTAGTATCGAAAAAATTAGAATTGAAATGAGTTTCTAATTAGACAAAAACCCTTATTGTCCCAATATTTCGCTACTATTGACCCTGCCCGTAATCAACTACTACTTGGCCACAACTATCTGTTCAACCATACGGCCCCGTTAGGAATTTTGGGTAAAATTAGATTTAAGTATATCAGAAGGAAGGTTTGAAATGCATTTCAAGACACAGCCTCTTTTTTTCCTTATATCCGATCCTGTCCGTAACCTCCTGGTGGACTATATGACCCCCGATTAAAAATGTCTGGTCCATTGGAAAGGAAAATTCTCTTCCAGGATATCCGCCATGAAAATTGTATGATTGCGAAATGTTTCAGGAAGAAAATTAACTTTTATTTTTTTAAATAATTATTTTTGAAATAAGCCGTGTTTATAAACATCGCAGTCTATAAGATTTAACAGTTGTCCGCAGGGCATAGACCAGTAAAAGCCAAATTCTAATATGTCCCTTTTACAACAAACAGTCCTTTTATTCGTGAAATGTTAGCCGACCAATTAGACGCTAATGGACTTTGAAAATAAAACATCAAAAAATGAGACAGTCTTTCAATTTTTTTCTTTTCCAAATAAACCTCCGTATTTGGTTTTATATTTGAAAAGATTATCTTGAGGCATTTCCTGTTTTTAGATTAAAATAGTTCGTTATAAAAGCCGATACGAAGGGTAAACTGAATCTAAAAGATCCGTCTAAAAGTATTTTTAACACAGAGACAAAGGGATTTCTTGTTATATCAAGCATTTAGTCGGTAATGATTTATTTTCATCCTTTCCATGCAGATGAAAGGGGTCTTTTGATTTCTGCTGTTACGTTATGCTATCATTTATGATTTCAGGACCTGTTACGATTCTCTAAAGTTGGTCAATAATATAATCATCTATAAATTGTTCGTCTTTGTTTTTGATTCAGGAAAGTCTTCGATGCGATTCGACACATCATGTTGAAGTGTAAAAAAACTGTAAAAAAGGCTGATTCTGTAATATATCGCAACAGTACTCATTTCAATTATCAATAATGAATGATTCTGTCGAACAGCATCAGGCTAACGACCTTATTTTTCGTAAACAGTCATACGAAAATAAAATATGTTAGATTAAATACCATTCGAAATTGTCCGGTTCTGTGTAGTTTTTCTGAAAATTCTTACCTGGTTTTCCATTGCATTCTGTTGAAACCTTTCCAACAAGGCATGCGACAAGGAGCACAAGTAGGCCCTTCATTCTCCTGCAGATATACAAATGATATTGCGTCCCCTTCAGATTCTTATTTCTGCGACCTGCTCCAAGTGACAATCACGTGCCAGTCAAGTGAAGAAATGACCAAAAACTAATCCTAAAATCTCCCGAAATCCTTTCCACGTGGCAGAAAATGCCAAATGGATTAAGTTGAAGGGTTCGGGGCTTTATATTTCCCATAATGTTCAATCATTAAAGATCATCCTAACTAAACTGTCAACATTTATTGCATTTTTGTCACGTTTTAGCAAAATTATGGACCTAACCCCTCGGACAAAACGCCTCTGCATAATTCTCCTAGGGAGATGGGTATATTCAGATCGGCCCCCATGGTGCTTTATAGTGTTTGTACTGTAATTTAACGTCAATGAACCTTTAAATTCATCATTTACACGGATTTTTATTTCCATTTGATGTATTTCATTTGTGTGATACTGCATCTTTTCGTTTTAATTGCAAGACAAAATGTTTCTGTTATTCGAATTTTGGTAGAAAAAGAAATGATTAATTTGATAATGTTAGGGGAAATGTCAACATTCATTGTAAGGGGTAACCAACGTATTCCTATTGAACAAATCACGATTTATATCTAATATTTCATGAAATAGATTGTGGCATTAAACTGTCTTTTACAGTAAGTTACAAATCAATAAAATAGAGACATATTAAAACTTATGATTTATACGCCGCCCGTTGAAAGGTTGCTTCGGTGTTAATATGTCGTGCTATTTGTATTACGTATTATTGTGTATTATTTTGTATCATGATGTATGCTGCCCAAAAAAGGGCGAACAATGCAATAAATATCTATCTATGTTGTTTTGAACCAGATATTGTTCCCCACCTCTCCCCCAAATAAAAACATTATAAAAACAACGAAAAACAAAATTGTGTCATTGACTACAGATTTTTTCCAAATTGAGTTTTATGCGTATTAGCAGCCTGAGGTTACTTAATCATGTTCGTTAAAACGCAATTTTCATTTGACAATCGGAATAAGGGTATTGTAGACATAAAACGTCAACAGACTTTAAGTTATAGATCTGCTTTTAATCTTACTGTCACAAGTGGTAAAATATTTCATTTTCTGTTAAAACTGAGAAGAAAATAATGTGAACTTTTTCACTTCTGGTCATTAAGTTGGCGCTTATCGTTAGACTCTAAAAGCAGACGTGTCATTTTGATAAACGATTCCAAGAATCTTTTAATTTAAATTTTTA